CTGTATTGTCATTATGTTTCCTTCTAGTCAGCTGTGTTCTCATGTGTCTCCACTTCCTCTGATCACCTCATGTGTGTATTTAAGTCCTCAGTCTTCCTTTGTTCGTCGCCGCGTCGTCTGTTCAACTTCCCCCATGTTACGCCAGGTTTCAGGACTCTGTGCTGGTCATGTCCATGTTACTTACGTATATACGTTTCATAGTTCCTTGTTGTTCCAGCACAGAGTCCTGTTCACAGTTGCCTCCGTCATGTGCATCATTGTCACCCTGTCTTAGCCTTCCCTGCTGTCTGAGTTAAGTGTCAGTTCTTAGTTTTCCCAGTTCAGCTTCTAGTTTAGTTTTGCCTCAGTGCTTTCTGTTGTTTGCCACGTTAATCAGCCCAAATAAAGGCTCGCTTTTCGTTTCAAGTTCGGTACTGTCTCCTCGTCTGTGTCTGCACCTGGAACCTCGCACTCCCACACTCGGCACCACCCACCGCAGACCGTGACAGCGTATAATCAAAAAGGAAAGTTTTAAACCTAATCTTAAAAGCAGAAGCTCCTGGATGTAAACTGGGAGCTGGTTCCACAGAAGAGGGACCTGAAAGCTGAAGGCCTCCCATTCTACTTTTACATACCCTGAGAAGCACAAGTCTGAGAGTGAAGTGCTCTCAGATGTGGTTGGTGACCTGATACACATGACTACTGAAGACTACTGTGAGTAGAAGGATTTAAATATTACTGAGAGTGTCTGTTTTCATTCCCCATGTGTTTCCCTGTGCTTTAGATTCATTTACGATTCTTTCTTCTTTTTGGAATTCATTTGGAACTCAACAGCAGCTCGCTTTTTTTTCCTTTTTTTTTCTTTTTAGAATTTCTCATACAGCCGGTCTCACCGGACCTGATGCATTTCATCTGTAGTCGTTCTGTAAAGCTGCTCTGCTGCAAAATCAGGTCTAAATCTGATTTATGCAAGTCCTTCAGCACAATCAAAAACAGAAGCTTTAGCAATCTATATTTTGGTGAATCAAATCTGTTTTTATGTAACTGAGACCATCATGAAATAAAGCCTGTTGAGAATCCCATCTTAATAAGCATGGAAAAATCAATTTAGCACCTACAATATGTTCCCCTAAGGCTGTGTGCATTGCTCACAAGAATACACTGTAACTGTGTGTGGGTTATTGTAGTTTTTACCAGTCAAACACCAACACATTCATCAAGTTTAAGCTCATCCTGCATCTATCAGAAGATTTCTTAATGTATTCACTTGGTTTCCACCTCCAGCATCTTTATCTGTGGAAGTCAACAAAGCCATGCTGCAGCATCTTATCGTGCTCCATTCAGGTAAGAGCTCTGAAAGAGGAAGTATACCCCTGGCTGTTCATGTGTGCCTGAGCCTGCAAGCCATGATGCCAAGACACAGCGAGCATCTGTAGAGCAGTGGAGGGTAATGCATGCCTTGTCTCTGGTGGACAGAGGGGAGAGTGTGTTGAACTCTCCGAGAAGTGAATTTGGCCAATTTCATGCGTGTACAGTACTCACCCAGGTGCAACGCACTGTGAAGCTGGAGAAAGAATTAGGCATTAGGAGAATAAGAAGCAAACAGAACTTCAGCAATAAGCAAGAGCTTTTGTTTATTTATTCATGTAGTTCTAGCTGGAAGTGGTGGATGGGGAGTTAAAGACTGCATGCTTAGATGATGCATGTTTTTAGAAGTTTGCACCAGAGTAAATAATTTTCAGCCTTCGTTGTATTGATTACTTTCTGTATGTCAAGAAATCTACTTGAATGTGCAGCACATCCAGGAAAATCCCATAAGAATGGCAGTGAAATACCAGAGTATGGCTGGAAAACTAAGAAAATTACCTTTCCTATCTTTAAAAGGTCTTTTCAAGAATTCACACCATCAGACATGCCCCATCAGTATGACTTTTTAGCAGCCCCTGAAAGAAGTCCATTGTGGCCTTATTTTCTTTTTCTTTTTTTTTTTTTCTTTTTTTGCTGCAGTTGTCCCCTCAAAATCAGCTCCAACCCGTGTCTTATGGTATCAGACACCAACATTAGCAGCAGATATCAGGAAGTGTCAGAAGGTGTAAGAGTGGTCTTCCATGGATGGCACTTGTATTTCGTGCACATCCCCAAGAGTAGAAATGAGATGTGGGAAAACAGGAAACGTTGTCCCAAATTGTTTGTCATGTGAGCAGCATGGACACAGAGCTTCACCCTAACAGGGGTCAGTTTTTTGCTTTTATGGTAAATGGACTGGTTCTTATACACTTATGGTCAAAAGTTTTAGAACACTCCAATTTTTTATTGAAAATTATGCAGTTTAATGTCACATTGCGCTCTGAACTGAACTTACAAATAAGCAACTGGAGTGAAAACAGAAATCGGTGAATCAATTTTTAGACCAAAATGTTTTCTAAACTTTTGACTCATCAAAGTAGCCACCTTTGGTAGATATAACAGCTGAACACACCCGTGGCATTCTTTCAACAATAGAAATCAAATATTCTTCAGAAAGTTCTTCCCATTTCTGTTGCAGAAGTTTCCATAAATGTGGCGCTTGTAGGTTACTTTGCTTTCACTCTTCTGTCCAGTTCATCCCAAACCAGCTTGATGGGGTTTAAGTCTGGAGACGGTCTTGGGCACCCCATGTTTTCAAGCTTACCATCTTGTTCTTTTTTCCTGAGGTAGTTCTGGCATAGCTTAGACTTATGTTTTTTGGGTCATTATCTTGCTGTAGGATGAACCCCTGACCAACTACATGAGGGTATCGTGTGGCGCTGCAGAGTGCTGTGGTAGCAGTTTTGGTTCAGCGTGCCTCTCACTCTGTAGAAGTCACCAACCCGAATCCAGCAAAACAGCCCTAAACAATCACACTTCCTCCTCCATGTTTGACAGTTGATGCCACCCACTGAGGAGCCATCGTTTCGCCTTCTTGATGGCGTACAAAGATCTTGAATGATGAACCGAAGATTTCAAATTTTGATTAATCCGTCCATAATACCTTCTTCCCGTCTTCAGTAGTACAATGGCCGTGTTTCATGGCCCAGGCAAGCTTCTTTGTCTTATTCTGACGTCATAGCATTGTCCTGTCAAACCTGGAGCTCAAAGTCTTCTCTTCACAGTTGAAACTGAGATTTGCTTACTATGACCACTATTAAGCTGTGCTTCAAGCTGTTGTGAGCCGCCTATCACGCAAGCTGTTAACTCTCAGAAATGTCCTCTGATTCACGTGTGGCTTTGAGTCTGCCAGACCTCTTCCTTTCGTCAAAGTTTGGCCCAGTTTCTGAGTGCCTTTTGATGGTGAAGGAAACTGCACTCACTGACATCTTGACTTTCTTTGCAATTTCTCTGTTGGAAAGACCTACATTTTTAAGTGTTATGATGGTCTGTCTCGCTTCCATTTTTATTTGCCTTTATCACAGCATTTTTGTAGCATCACACTACTTTCTGCAGTACAATACTGTTCAACTGATGCTTCAGTTCTAAGGTCAAATGGTGGGGAGTCCCAGATTTAAACATAGTGGGAGTATCCCCCCACTAGGTTTAAATCTGGGACTCCACACCATTTGACCTTAGAACTGAAGAAGCTTCTCGGATGAGAGGTGAAACGTCTTCAAGCAACTTAAAGAAGTCCAGACGCTTTTCTTTGCAAGCTCCTTTGACAGTTTTGAGTAACCTTACCTTTTTTTTTTTTTTTTTTTTTAAATCTCTGGCGGTTTACCACTTACGCTTTTACAATTTTAAGCTGACTTGAATAAATTGAATTGCCTGTTTACATTCTGAGTCCATGATGATTCATAATTTAGCAGCCTATCCTGTTGTGCAAATACGATCACCTTAAAAAGTAAACTAAAAAACATGACAGTTCCCACAACACAAATACTTACACTTCAAAATCTGTAGTCCATAAACCAACGGGTAACATACATCCTATATACAGTTATGGGCAGGAGTTAGACTAACCAGGCATTTCATTAGGTACACTTGGCTAGTATCAGTTTGGATCCGTTTGCTTTCACAGCTGCGTTCAATATCCAGTGCATAGACTCAACAAGGTGCTTCAAACCTTCCTCAGAGGTTTCATCATAATATGTTCATGATAACATTAGAACACATACTGCAGATTCATCATGATTTGAGTTGATGTGAACCTCCCATTCATTAACATCCCAGTAGTGCTAAATTGAAAGGAAATTAGTGACTGTGAAGCCCATTTGAGTAGTGAACTCATTATCACATTAAAGAAACCAGAAAATTGTGACTTTGGTACAGTGGTCGTAAAGGAAAGGCAACGTCAGCACCAGCACAGAGGTATGTTGTGGCATTCAAATGAGGCTCAACTGGTACTAACAAGCCCAAAGTATAAACCTGATATTAAGGCCAGAAAAAAGATTTGCACAAGGATTGTTGTTACAGTGAGTGTCACAAGCTATTGTTATACGTTCATTCAGACCTGAGATTACAGGTTATGATGCAATGTAGTGATGTGGAAATACATTATATTTAAAAATGTTCTTTTAAAAGGTTTTTATCCACAGAGTTGAATGTTGTTGAACTGAGTGGGAGGATTTAATTTGATTTACGTAAAAAATATAGAGCTCTTATAATGAAAAGTTATGATGCCTGTTTGCATAAAATTGTTTTTCTACTAAATAACTGATTAGTGTTTGAGGTTAGTTATTCCGATGTAGATCAGTTATGAAGCACGGTCATTAAATAAGTAATAGTGAAAACCTTTCAGAAACTGACTCGGTGTGCGACAGAACTTACCTTCACCTAAGGTAACTTTGTCATTCACTGCAACACAACACAAAAAATCCAACACACATGCATGCACACACACACACACACACACGCCGCTAAATGCAGACAAAAAGTCTTAATACCCTTGATATAGAGTTTTTAAAAAGCCACCACTGAGGCAACTAATGGCAACTGTGGCACAGTTAAAAAACAAACAAATGCATGCACTGTATTATGCTTTCTGAAAAAAGAATGAGTACAGGCAGAGGTCATCAAATGTGTTTTACTGTACATTTACAAAACAACAAGAGTACAAAAAAGTCAGTCCACAGACATTTTTTGTTTGTTTGTTTGTTTGTTTTGGAGGGAGTATATTGACATTTCATCTGACAAATGCAGCAAACAGCCTCTCAGACAGACAAGAGGGGAAGCAGAGGGATTACAATCAAACTTTCATAAAGTCTGTCTGTCAGTCTGTCTGCAGAGTGGAACACTTTGCAGCAGAGAAACCAGAGGAAACATAGAAAAATATGACATTCGTAGCGGACAACATGGCAGCAGGGATCCTGGTGGGGAAGCGCTGGGGGGCGGAGACGTCCATCTGGGAGCGAGACCCAGCTCGTTTTGGTTTTTCTGACCCCCCCCACCCCTCATTCTCGACCAGAAAACACACTTTGTGCTTCATATTTTCTGTTGTTTTGCCATCACAACAAGAGTGCAACAGTAGTTAATGCTTTTCCAAAAAGTATACATTTTGAGAAAAAAAGTTGGCACATTCAAGAAGACTTTTTTTTGTTTGTTTGTTTGTTTGTTTTTTTTAAATATCAGACGTTTGTGGGGGTTTTTAATCCTCATAAATACAATATACATCTTTTACCCCTGTATCCAGAGCTCACAAAATACAGACACAGGTATTTACAAACCAAAGGTGAGGAGTGATCTGAGTGGCTCATAAATATTCGGAGCAATACCAAAAGCAGAATGTAAAGTCTGTTTACAGCAATAACATAGGTTTGACTCTAGGTTCCTGAAACCCTAAGCTCCATGTCTTGTTCAGCTTATTGTCTCCACAGTGGTTAGATGGGCGGGGAGCAGGAGGGTGATCAAATCATCAAAGGTACACTGATAGAATTTCTTTATCTTAATTCCTGAAAGAGAGAAATATAACATCAGTAGCTTAAACAATCAGTCTCACAGAACGAGTTATCAGGACACTTATTCTAGCAGTAACTTGGTATCAGGGGCCAATTTAATCCATCCATGGAGATTGAATCAGTTTTTATCAAGACTGTTTAGCTGTCAGGGTGAAGAACTTCAGACAATTTCCTCTCGATCTGAGCCACATTCCTGCAGTAATCACCTATCTTGTAAATTTTGGGTCAGCACCACTTAACAGGAAGTTAAGTGACTTGTTGACATTTCCACGATGTACCGGAGGATGCTGAAAACAGCTTCCAGCTAAAATCTGTTTCTGGAAGCTCTGCAGTAACACAAAACACATGCAAGTGTTGCAAATAATATGATGCAATGTTTAATACTCATCTTTTAATGTGAAAATTAAGCTTTCAGCTCCATGCTGATCACAGTGAAGTTGCTACTACAAACAGGAATTCCTCTCCAAGTGGATCTAAAATGCATTTCCTTATTTTTTTTAATCGCATCTACAGTATACTGCTACAGTTATGGATGTAAACCAAAAGCATGCAGGGCAGCCAATCAGAAGAAAATTAGCTCAAAGGGCAGAGGGAGGCAAAACAGCTTGTCTGAGGCAGTCTTTTATGCATGTAGTGCATTTTACTGACTGTCAATTTATTTATTTATAAGCACATTTAAAAACAGCACAGATTGACCAAAGTGCTGTACAAACAATCACGTGAACTATGCTTGAGCAGACTAGGTTCCCCATATTAAACACATATTAAAGCACTGCCAGTTGTTCCAGTTTCTGAAGATAGTGTCATGTACTGCATTTTGATTGTCATTATTCTGCATTCAGTCCAGAAAGATTGTTTCAAAAGAATCAAAAGTGATGCTACTTAACAAAAATCTAATTAACTTCATACAAAGGTCAGGATGGATGGATTTCACAAAACACTCTATGAAATTAAAAGGAGATATTAAAAAGTATGAAAAAAAACTTCAGTGTCTCAGACGTTCATACACACCTCTCTAATACCACTGTTACAGTGGCCTATTTAGTTCCTAGCCTCGGAGCATTTTTTAACAGGCTTGACGACATCTGCTGCCCTTCCGTCGCCCATCCTAGACTGGCCGTCTGCATCAAAGGCCACATGATAAGCAGGCAATAACACCACATGAGGAAGAGGTAACCTAATCCAGGCTTCCTGTAACTTTATTGCAAAGGAGGATTGTGCTTTCATGTGCCTGGGAAGGTGTGAAAAAGGTCAGCGTGGGTCAGTTAGGAGCATGTGGAGCAGGGGTGAGGTGTTCTTTAGTTCTCCACCGAGGGGGTGGAGGGGAATATAAGGAACCTTTGTGTGTGTGGCAAGAGAAAAGAGTGATTGTGCATGTGTGTCACTTTTACAAGTTGCTTTGCAACACTCATGTCTGATGTGCACTGAGAAGTGACCCGTGACAGAGCCATCCTTTCTGTTTCCTCACACATGCAGCTTTATAGTGATGCCTCGGGTTACAGCTGTAAGCTTAACAGCTACAGCATTAAAGGAATGCATCAAAGCTGCTGCACTAACCATGTCTCATAAACCACTGCGTATGTAGGTTAACACTGAATTTTGAAAGTAACCAGAGTCAAAGTTGTGGCTGAAAGCTATTTTATCCATTTAATTACATAGAAGAAAATATTTGTCCTGATCCTTTTCAGCATTGTGCCTGCATGAAATTAATTAACACAACATTTTCAGTTTTTTCCGTGCAGTTAACCAATCCAAAACACAGATTACAAACTGAATTTACATACAATTTGAATTTAACTTTAAAGAGCTCCCATCACTTTGGATTAAGCTCCTGTTGGGTTACCCAGCTTGCTGCCTACCTACAGTAATGTCAAACTTTGTAAGCACAAATTCCCTTCAGAGCCTTCCATTCAGCTGGCACAGCGTGCTCTACCATAAAAGACACTAGCACGTCGCAAGGGAGCCTGCAGGGAGTGCATTTAAAAGAGTGCTCCCACAGTTAAGTGTGCCCTCAGAAGTGCACTCCAGAGAGAGCAGTGGTTGTGTAGGCTTAACATTGTTTCTTACTGTAAAGGTTTTGAAGCAAATGGTAGTGGCAGATCTGTATGAATGGGCCTGAGAGCATGACGGTGTGAGTGTGTGTGGGGGGGAGTGTAGAAGCCCTCTCTGAAGTGCCTTCACATATTAGTAATGATATGTAGATTAAACTGAATCCCATGAAGAGGCTTTGTTCTCATATTCATGAATATATAAAATAATCAATTATTAAAACCATTAGAGGTGCACAAAACTCTATAACTGTTTTTTTTTTTTTTTGGCAGAATTTTACCTCATTGTGTTTCCTGGCTGAGTTGAGCCCCCGGGAGCCTGTGGAGCCTCTCGATGAGGAACTTCCTGTAGTTGAACAGTTACTAGACATCTGACCTCTGGAGAGGTAACCGGCCTTGCTGCTGTACAGGATCATCTCCTCATCTGGAGAGACAGATGCAAATGGGAAAATAAAGGTGCATTTGGACATTTTGCAGCTGATCTGGACAACACTTTTTCAGATGTAGGCTACGTCTACACTAATCCGGATAAATTTGAAAACGGCGTTTTCGTCTAAGAACGCTCCACGTCCACACTATCGTTTTTAATAGTCTCCAAACAGTTGTTCATCCACACTGAAACCACTGAAACGCTTATGGTCCTCTATTGCGCATACGTGAAACGTAAGATGATTTGACCTGCAGTATTTCTGTCTGCTGTTTATTTACTTTCCGGCTCTTTAAAACGCCGTGGCAAAATGTCGAGGAAAAGTTTTTTAAATAGACTAACGATGAGGTGGAGGTGTTGCTGCGAGTAACACAAAAGTACAAAGTTGCAAAAGTGAGTGAGAATTAAACAATTTGAAGAAAAGCTATCTGGAGCATGTACAGGCTGATGTCAATCTTTAATAGAGCAAACAAAACAACGCCCTCCGCAATCTTAGTTTAATTGGTCACATGACTGGATCATATGACTAAAATGCGTCATCGTTTCCGAAAGTCTGCGGTTACGCTGTCCACACTGACTAAATGACCTCCTCAGCAGGTCTTGAAGTTCTCCAGAGGCCTGGTAATGACATAGTCATTTGATTCAGGTGTGTTGACCCAGGGTAATATCTAAAACCTGCAAGACTTCAAGGCCTGGAGTTGGACACCCCTGCCTTACAATATAAAGCACCTTGAGGCAACTTCTGTTGTGATTTGACGCTATATAATTAAACTGAAATTGAATTGAATACATTTCCATCCAAATGAATTCAATAACCACACATTTACCCAGATTTATTTTTGGAGTTGGGTATGGAAAAACGACACTGAGTTTTCACATGATATTCTGTGAGGGATACACGCTGCAGGATTTTTAGATTCTCTGAGCCATGCCTTTTGTTTTTGAAAATGGCCAGGAGAGCTGGCTTCACGGTTATTTTGCAAAGTCATTTATAAAGAATGACATGTTGCAAACAGACCCGTTTCACTCTCCCGTGTAACACTGCAGTGCAGTAGTGGACCGTGGTGCATCATTATGTGGAAGAGGCTTCATCAGCCGAGTGCATAAGTGCTGCCTTTTCTTCCGCTTTCTTCTTCTGAAAGAAGCACAACATTTCCAAGAGAGCCCACACTCTCTGTCCTAAATTTGATTTGTCTAACCTTAAACTACATTATGGCTGAAATTCAACACACTTACTGTCAGTGTGTCTCTGTCCCGAGCCTTTTCGCTGTTGGCTATTAATGCTATATTCACTCCTCTCCAGGGAGGACAGCGTGCCGTTTGTCACACAGTTGGCCTCCATGCACCCCTGGGGGTCCTGTAACCGGCTCTCTTCTGGGGGTGGTTCTGGAGGAGGGGGCAGGTCTAAAAAAATGAGATACAGGGAAAGAGCATTAAAACTTTAAGAAAGAACTTTTTGTTTCCATTTTCATTGTCAGGTTTCTGTTAAAAAAACAGTTTTCTTAGTTTCCAGAAAATGACAGCTTTTTCTTATTTCTCTCTTTGTTTTCTTTGCTGAGTGAGAAAAGTGAAGAGACTTACAGTCTTGATTTCTTGATGGAAATTGAAATGATTATTCACTTATTAAGATGAAAGGTCTTGTTCTTGTTCCTGCCAAGGCTATGGATTCACAGTGGACTGCAATTTCAGATTTTTATTTCCGTTTCCAGTGATAATAATCATGCTTATCCAGTAAACGTATTACAGTCTGTAAGCTGAGATTACAATTTCCATCCATAGTCAGGAATGCCAGCCTCTCATCTTGCCTTTCTAACAGCTGTGGACAGTCACAGTATCTGTGATTCACATATTTGAATCTGCCCACCTCCTTGTATGTCTCTTCTGTAAGCTGAAGTCTTAGACACTTTTTTTTTCACTCTTGATTTTTGGTTTGGTGGAGTACTTGTATCAGCGGGGGAGGAGCGACTGTGCACTGTGGGTGAAAAGGCATAAATAATTAATAGCAAGGAGACGATGCAGAAGGATTACTCACATGACAAACACTAAATCAACTTTAAATCAGCTTCCAGGGTGGGGGCTGCTACTCTGTATTCTGTATGCGTGTGCACGTCAGCCACTTTACCCGGCGTGGTCGTGCTGATGCTGTCTTCATTCAGAGCTGGGCCCTGGCTCTGGAGGCAGCGATGGGCAGGACTCTGGCACTGCAGCATGCCAACTTCTGATGAGCTGTGATGCTGTTGGCCGGAGAGGCTGGGGTTGGACTGGGTGAGCAGCGGGCTCGGTGCCTGGGGAACTGGCATGGGACCGCAGGGTAACCTTCTGCTTTGGGAAGTGAGGGCAGCATGTTACTGGAGCAAAAAATAAACTGAAGCAGAAGCTAAATCTTGTAATGTTTAGGAGTGAGGTTTACTATACAGCTAAACACATGATTTTTGGCATGATTAATAATGTGATTTTATTGGTTTTGTCATTTTATTCTGTCTGTCACATCTGACAATAGCACTCGATTTAGCTAGGCTGCTTATCTGTAATTGTGAATTCTACTGAGAAGTGAATGAAGCACTAAACAGTAAGCAGTAAAATGACTGTGATTAGCAGAGAAATCCCCTTCCATCGAAACAGTCAGAATGTGACATGATACCCCATCAGCACATTTGCTGAACTTAAACACATTGACACAGTGCAGTCAAATGGACACAACCTTTAGAAAATACAGTAAGCATGTACCGTGACAACTGCTGGCTGTTTGATTGGTTCTGACGGGGGAGGTCATGGTGGGCTTGGGGCTCCTCGTGCGGTGACGGAGTGAGCGTGGCGGTTGACTGGTGACTGTAGGAGGTGGCTGGAGAGGAAGCGTTGTTCCTCTGAGGGGGCGAAGGTCTGTCCTCGCAGCCTTCCATCAGGTATGTCCTCTCAGGGAGGGGTGGACACCATTCCTCATCCGATCTAGATACACAGTGAAGCAGATTACTGCTCAGCGAGGCCGTGTGCGGCTCTACACCTCGATGTGTTGCATAATAATTGTTGAAGTACAACCTGTTTACTCAGTGATACCTTCAAATCCAACTAGCTAAGAGGCTATTTAAAGATTAATGATGTTCTTTCAAGTTAGGAGGCTTCGCCAACGGCAAAACTGCAGGAGGCTAAGCTTCCCATTGAATGGTACTGCAGCTATGAGTTTTGCTATGAGGCTGCAGAGTGCAAGTGGTAAGGGTCAACATTGGTAATTGCGTTTCATGGGTGGGGAAAACAGCTAAATCAGTCAAGGAGTTGACCAAGGCTGAGATAATTGAGTTGTTAAGGGCAGGGCCTTAAGAGCAATGCTGGCTTTTATACTTAATGCAGCTGTTAGAGGTGACACTAAGTCTAAGTGATGATACAACAGTGTCATACTAATTCAGAGAGATGTGCATCTGAGGAGGCAGGACTGTGACTCACCCTAGGTCCATGTTCTCTGGAAGTTCGTCATCTTGCTCACACTGCTTCAGCTCTTCTATGGGCGGAGGCGGGGGCAAGGACTCCATCCAGGTCAGAGATGGGGTCTTTACAGCCTTACCCATCACCTTCTGCTTGGGCTTACCTAAAAAAATGACATAAATAAATAAATGCAGCGATTCAATTGAAGGGGAGGTTCTGGCACAATGAGCTGATTCGTCACGACCGTATTTTGACACATACCCCAGCAGGCCTGTGGCTCACAAATAGCAACACGGAGGCAGCAAAGTGGGATTTGTAGCATGACTGAGTGCATGTTGGCCAAACTGCTTCCACGAATAAATATTAAAAACAAGGAGAGCACAAACCTCAGCTCACTCTCTAAGGGAGTAGTTTTGTATTTTGTACATTTTCATTTTGTTTTCTTATGAAGTTTGCAAGAAAGGCAGGTGTGAAATGTAAAAGTGACATCACTACATGCTTTTTGTCAATTTTCAACCAATATATCCAAATAAACAGATAAATAAAGTTGACCGTGATGGACCATTGGTGGACGTAAGGCAACTTTTCATGGATTGTTAGCACAAGCCCACTCTACCCCCCTACAAATTTTTATCAGCATTCATTGAAAACTTTTCGATCTGTCACCTTTGCAGATAGAACGATTGCTCTCTTTCGGTCTTGTTTTTGTGTTCCTTTGTCTTTCATTGTTACCCAAGTCCACTCCTGCTGTCTTGCCCAGAGTCACATTTGGATGTGTATTCCTGTTTTACGTTGGTAATGGTCGTTCTCCGTGTCTCAAGTTTTCTTCGTCATCTCGTTATGTCTGTTGTTGCATCCCACCTGTTATCTGTCCCCTTGTTATTCTGTGAGTGTGTGTTGTTTCTGTCTTCCTCTGTTTTTTGTTGCATTGTCCCTCATCCTTCACAGCTGTGTGTACCCTCGCTCTGTGCCTCCCTGCTTCGAGTTTCCCAGCTATTCTATTTCTCCTTGTGATTCTGTTAGCTTTTGATTCCCCTGCTCACCTTGGTTCTGTGTATTTTGGACTTGCAGAATTAAATGCTCATTTTCAATTTGCTCCTGCCTCTCTGTATTCAAGTCCACAAACAAGCTTTTACATAGCCCACAAAGAACAAAAACACTATTTTCTGATTAGTATTTTTCATTAGAAAAGCAGAACAATCTAAGATCTGAAGCGATTCTGAAGGCAGATGCAGACTGTTTCAAATCAAATATCAATAATCCATCCATCTTCATCCACTTTATCCGTGGCCGGGTTGTGAGGGCAGCAGCCTAAGCAGAGAAGCCCAGACCTCCCTCTCCCCAGCCACCTCCCCCAGCTTATCCGGGGGAACACCAAGGCGTTCCCCCGGACAAGCTGGAGCTGATTTCATATCAATAAGTGATGACAAAATATCCATGTAAAAGGAAGGAAGGTAAGGAAACACTGGAATCTAAAGCCATATTTTTGGCATATTTTGGGTTTACATTTCACTGTTTCTTTCTTATTTCCTCCAAGTAATCAAAGCAACAGGAGACAGAGATGTGTATTTCAAATTCACAGAACTGAAATCCTTCCTCACCACTGCAGCGGTCCAGCTGGGCGTACTGAGCTCCAGATGGACCGGGCTGGGTAATCCAGTGGCCGTCGTCTTGCTGCTCACCGCCGTGGGGTGGAACTTGTGTCTGGTTGGTGAAAGGCATGATGGAGGTGGAAGCGTAAGGAGTGGTGGAGTTGTGCTGGGCGTAGGTGAAACTGTGCAGGTCCTCGCTGGTGGCGTCAATCGTGCTGTAGATGGGACCTTCGGTGGAGCCTCCCATGCTGTACTTCTCAGTCTGATTCAGGTAGTTGGAGATGCCAGCTTCTACACAGGGATGGAGGTAGGATTTAGCAAAGCTCCTGCTGTTGTAAGCACAGCATCACAAAAACAGACACTCCTACCGTTGTAGTATCTCTCAGCTGTGTCGGGATTGGCCGGGCAGCAGTTGACGGCCTCTTTGCCATTGTGAACCAAGTTAGTGGTGGGCCAAGAGTCTGCCAGCCATGGGTAGTTGCCTATGTTGCCCCCAAGCACTCCTTGCCTACAGAGACACTCTGGCATTAGCTGAAGTCGTAGTGGGGCAGTACAACATCAAGTATAACTGTCCAGATGGAATTAGAGAGTGGCAGAGAAAAAGCTGCATGCATGCAGTGAGAAATGTGGTGTGAATTTAAAAAGATTCACATAATAAAATATCACAAAGTTCAGAGATATAATTCTAGAAATGTCTGTATGTCTTTGCTTAGCAACCCTATCCTACTAGTTCACACAGAAACAGCACTAGTAGGATATAAACCAGTTACCTTCCATTTAGTCCCGGTCCTTCTCCATGAGGGAAACCGACTGCAAAAGCAAGAGAGAAAGAGAGTGATGAGCAGAGGAACAGGGATTCACAAACGAATTATTCTGTTATCCTTCTTACAGTATCCTTCAGTCTATATCCTATTCTAATAATGTAGAGTCAGCTGTTCTCATGTCCACCAAAAGCACAAAAAAGTGCATCTATGTTTTTATTTTTTGATTATTATAATTATGTGAGTTCATACTTAAACTTCTAGTCATGTATTAAAGCTTATACTATTGCAGTACAGAGAACAGAACCTAAATAGTAGGTATATATAAAGATTATTAAGTATTCAAGCCCAAATTTAGCCTAGAAGGGAATTACACTGAAACTATTTGTAAGTTTTTCCTTTTATTTGGCTGTACATATGTCAATGGCAGCATTCTGGATTCGACTTCCTTCATAAGTATCATCCCAGCTTCAGGTCATCTTCATCATCCTTACCTGCTGGTGTGTAGGCGAAGGAGGCCGTGTAGTGGCTCAGCTCCTTCCTCTTCTTGCGGCGGCAGTAGATCCAGACGCTGAAACCCATCAGGATGACCCAGCAGGCTCCTCCGATGCCTGCGATGAACGCCGGCTGCTTGACCACATCTGTAATCTGTTCAGCTAGACTCACGCTGCTCTCCTCACCACCATTGGTCTTGTCACCACTGCCTCCGCTTCCACCTGCTAATGAGGGCTGTTCAACTGGCAGCTCTACAGGAGAAAAACAAGACCAAAGATTACTGAACCATTTTATTTTTGGCTGGTTTGTTTAGTTTTCATACTCCAAAAAATAGCAATCAGTAAACCGTGTGTGTCTTTAATAAAGTGAAACTAAACTAAACTATTAACCGTGGACATAATTACCTCTTTCCTGAATAAACCTGAAGCAGGTGATGATGACATAACCTGAGATGTAACATTAATTAGCATCTTCTAATAACAAGTTTTTGGATGTTTTAGGTATGTGATTGCTGGAGCCGCACTATGGACTTCAATATTTTCCTGCGTCCTCTGGGATTAGTGTCTACTTAATTCATCTACTTTCGCACCTTGGCCCACTTTTTATTCTCATTATTTTTGTGGACTCACTGATGAGGACGGGCACCGGCTGACTGCGAGTGCCAATCCCGACGCTAGTCACTGCTGCCACCTCCACTTGGTAAAGCACTCCGGGCATCAGGCCCTTCAGCAACGTGGACAACGTGTTTCCATCCACTGTCTTGTTACTGTAGTATCGGGTCTGGTTGTCACCACCAGTGCTCATGCACCAAACCTGTTTGCATACAGAAAAATTTGCCATTAACTTTTTTTTTAAATACTTCACATTTTAATTCAAAGAAACTAGTTAACTACTGTCCTTTTTTGCTTAAAACTACATCAGAGTCAAATATTTTTCATGTACCACCTTCGAGCTTCTATATGTAAAGTTTTCTTTTCCCATTTATCCTGACTGAAGAAAACATCATATTCACAAACCACCAATTACCCGCTGTTTCCTTTTTATCTATATCTTATGGGATTAGCAGTGATTTCATAAGAGAACCGCCTTAACATTTGGGTCAGTGAGTACACATTTTGTGTGTAAGGCACTACTTACATGTCAGCTATGATGTTTTCTTGTGTGAAGTGTGAAGGCAGTGAACGGAGAGTGGTTACTACACATTGCAGAGGTTCTCCTGGGTAGTCACAGTGCTGCCCCCACTAAAGCTTTATTTAATTCAATTCAGTTAAATTTTATTTCTATAGCACTAAATCACAGCAGTCACTTCAAGGCACTTTGAGTGTGAGACTTGTGACTTGACTAGGCTGAGGTTTGTTTACCCTGTACTCCTGGATGATGCCATTTTGCGTGTCACTGCGTGGCGGCTCCCAGGAGACACTGATGCTGGAGCTGGAGCTGTTGCCGAGCTTCACTGTTGACACTGTAACAGCTCTGGGAGGGGCACTGGGTACTGTGAGAGGTGGGAGGAACATTTCTCTCATTTCATCAAGATGAGCCGAGTAGTTGAGCGCAGTAAATTATGAACATACACCCATATAGATACATATACATATTAGGACTGGGTATCGTCACTGATTTCTAGAATAGTTTCAATTCCGATTCACAAGGTCCCGATTCAATTCGATTCAATTCGATTTGAGAGTCAGAAATATTATAATTCAGATCATGCATCAGTACATTTCCATATTTTTATATCTATAAAAAGAAAGCTGACACTTGCGAGACTTTATCAAAGGTGTGAGCGTCACAGCAGATGCCTTTGTGTCAAAGTAGCTGAGGATAAAACACAGAAAAACATGAAGGCGACTTTCCTGGCCTGGGATTTTATAAAAATATTCTGCAGTAGATCAAAAACGAAAGAAAACCATTAATCAACATATGAACGTTACCTGATGCTGCTGAAGTGAAGCAGAGCAAAGTTACAGAGGTTTGATTAGAGACACAGCTAAGCGTTATGCAATTTTGCATAATTTTAAAAAGTTTAAGTTTGTTCAGAAGCCTACTGAACAGTAGAAATGAGGTTTTCTTTTCAGAAGTAAAAGGAAAAATAAAAACAGCGGCCAACAGCGCTGTAAACAACGGTAGACTTGTGCGTAATAAGCAAGCGAATAATGCAGAAAACAGATATTTAGACGGGAAACTGTTCTTGAAGTACAGAGAGAGAGAAAGAGAGAGAGAGAAAGAGAGAGAGAGAGCTCTGCATGAAGTGTGATTTTATCGTGGTGGGAGCAAAACAGTAAACATCAGAGGGTTATGATGATTATGTGAAACGTAGTTTGGATCTTCTTCTGCTGCTGGTTCAGTCAAATAGTTTGGAGAGAGATAAAATTAACAGTTTCAGAATCAGCGCAAAAAGGACGTAAACACAAAGCGCGGACCCGCCGAAACATCAGAATCAGCGAGCCATCGGCTTTCAGCCGTCAGGTGAGGAAGGCGACATCTCACTGATTCTGATCCGCTGGCAGGTCCGTGCTTTGTTTTTATGTCTTTGTGCAGAATCTGTGTACCTGCTCTCATTTACTGTTTTAGTTGTTTGGTGGTTGTGGAAATTTTGTGAGGTTTAACCTAATTTATATTAAAAAAATCGATTCAGGATTTTAATGAATCGATATCATGTTATCCAAGCTAGAATCGATTTTAATCGATAAATCGATAATCAAAACCCACCCCTAATACATATGTATATGTATACAAAATAGAGCAGATATACAGGATGGAAATACAACCTGCGCTTGAAAAGGAGTGGGGAAAAAATAACACTTGTGTGCTCCTAACCCCTTCACATATTTATAGCTCAGTCATTATTAACAAATACATAAAGTAATAAAAGAGAAGACACATGTATATAAGTTAATGATGTTCCTTATTCAGGCAGGTCAATCCATAAGTGCTCATGGCACATACGCCTCCTTCCTTGTGTTTTACTCTGGAGTTTGGATCAACCAATATAAACCCCTGGCTGCCAAAACTGCAGCACACAAATTTAATGAAAACAGTGATCAGTATAGATGAACTTAAATTCCAGAGGATATAAAATTAACCTCAAAATTAGATAACATAACGGAGATTCATGTGGTGTCATACAGGCTAATGAAAATGCCGTACAGGCCCTGCAGTGTCAAAGAAAACCAAGCCCAGTTTATTAGAAACACTTTTCTTTGAAGATTTCTTGATTACAGACTCATTTCTTCATTTACCAGACTTATTACCTTCTTCTGGGGTCCGGACTAGCAACGTTCTGCTATCTTTGCCCTGGAATTCATCAAAGTAGGGACGGATCTTTATCTCGTACTCGGTTCCTTTGAGTAAGCCGGTGAGGACGGTGCTGCGCTCCGAGGGGGAATTGATGTCCTGGAGGAGCCACATTCCCCCGCTGGGCCGGTAGGACAGACGGTAGCCCTGGACGTACTGAGACTGACGGTCGACCTGGAAAAAATTGAGGTCCGCATTGGGGGAAGATGAGAGAAGATGACGGAACGGCGAGATGGAGAGGAAATGGAAGATTATTTTTCTCTCTTTGCTAACCCCAAATGAATACTTGTTCCCCAAAAAGCAGGGAAATATGTGCCACTCACGTTCCAGGATACTCTAATGGAAGCTGCTGTTAGCATCACGGGGTCCTGAAGCTGAACAGCCACCTCTCCCAGCTCCCTCTGCACTTGCTTGTGGTCCACTCCTTGACCTGTAGGGCTCACATCTGAGGGAAAACACACACATAGAGTGATGCTGTCAGCGCATTAACACACAGTCACTGTTTCTAACAACTCCAGGTGTGAGTCTTGCTGTATTTGGTGAAAGGGGGGTGCAGGCTGACCTTGTGTTCTGACGGGCTCAGAGATGGGGCTTGGGTCACTCAGGCCGTAGGTGTTGACAGCACGGACGATGAACAGGTAGACGGTGTTGGGAAGAAGGCCGGTGATGGTGTGTGTCTCCATTTTAACCATGTCAGCTACAGTCTGCCATGTGCTCCCTGCTGATTGGCTGTAAAAGTACAGAAGATGAAAAAAAGTCAGATAAGCAGTGCGATATTTAGTGGCAGTATATTATTATAATCAAGAAAATGTACTCAAACTACCTAGTAGAGATGTGCACAACTAGTTGACTAGATGACTAACTGTTGCTTCTGTTGATGGTTGGTACCAGATGTACTAGTCATTTATTCTTAACATTTTAAATGATGCCCAATGTCGATAAATTGTTGCGTCCCAAATGTTACACAGCCATCTGCGACCAGCTGCCATGGAGCTACAGCCCTGGTATTGTTGTAGAAAACCTCCATAACTCAATTAATCTAGGTCTGATCTTTTGGTTAAGCCTATTATTGTTAGTTATTTTGAAAGCAGAGGAATAAGATCAAGTAGCGGAAATGAGCTTTCTCCGAAGGGTGGATGGGCTCGCCATTAGCGATAAGATGAGGAGCTGAGTCATTTGGGGGGGATGGATGATTTATTGTTTTGTTATTGTTTTAGATTTGGACTTTTATTGAGGTAAAACTTGTTACAAACTGTAGAACAATGTGTATAATTCATAATGCATGGTTTTTCTGCTTCTTCATTGTCTGCTTGGTGTATAACATGCAATGTTCATAATGCACAAGATGCCACAAAGTTAAGCAGCAAAGTGTGATTAATGATTTAGACACTTTTTGACATTGTCCATTAAACTTTTGTCAAATCTAACTTGATATTTGTCTCTTAGTTTTCACTACACAGTTACTCTCATTTTTTTCCTCGTTAAGTTGACAAAATTAGTCACTAGGAACATCCCTAATAACTAGTAATTTAATTCAATTTTATTTAGACAGCTCCAAATCACAGCAGTCGCCTCAAGGTGCTTTATATTGTAAGGTAGACCCTACAATAATACATACAGAGAAAAACCCAACAATCATATGGCCCCTTATGAGCAAGCGAATGCCCCAGCAGCCTACACCTATTGCAGCATAACTAAGGGAGGATTCAGGGTCACCTGATCCAGCCCTAACTATATGCTTTAGCAAAAATGAAAGTTTGAAGCTTAATCTTAAAAGTAGAGAGAGTTTCTGTCAGAAGAGGGGCCTGAAAACTGAAGGCCTCCTATAGTATAATTAGCTTGCATGTGCCTACTGCTCTTTGTCTCTCAGCATGACTACTCCAAAACTTCCAAACTGAACTGAATGAAAGCTCCACCTGAAAAGTGGAGCAGAGAAAATGAAGAATCTCACGACGCTGATGTGAAGATTCTTGTGAACTTGTGAAATACGTCAGTGACCTTGGCAAATGATACACTCTCTTAGTGCCCGTCCAGTTATTCATGCAATAATACTTTTGAAGAGGCTGCAACTAAAGATTATTCTGCAACCTAATTCATCTGCTGATTATTTTCTGCTTTGTTGACAAATATCCAGGGAATAAAGACCACCAGAGTCTAACCAAAAGATTAAGAAAACAAAAGGAAATCATTAATAAAATCAATCATCAATTAAAAAGGGATTTTTTTACCCACTTGTTCCACTTACTTGCTCACTTACAAAGAAATGATCAGTCTCTAACTTTTACAGTAGTTTTTTTTTTTCATTAATTGAGAAAATATCAACTAAAATCCAGGAAAAACACATTATTCCCATGTTTCTCCTACAATATGAACTGAACTACAACAACAGGTAAAATAAACAACTGCTGTAAACTGATGACTAATATTCGATTGAATTATTGTATTGCATAGCATTTTCCACCATCTTAGACAGTGGCTAACAGTAGCTTCACCTTCATATTATTTTCACTATATGAACAATTTCTATATCTTCTATAACATGCTTTTTAATGTTACCGTGAGTAATTCATATTACTCAGTCATATTGTAAATCTCCTCATAATATGTTTGAAACCAAAACAGCAAATATGTAGGTCTTATCAACAAGAAGGCAGAGTGACAAGCAGCTTCAAGCTGCTTTGTAATACCGACTTGATGTGAAACCTCATAATTAACCAATGCATGGGAAGCTCTCTGGGCAAGAGCATGATCTATTTTTGGTTTCCTCTAATATTCAATTCAGTTTTATTTATATAGCGCCAACTCACAACAACAGTCGCCTCGAGGTGCTGATATTATTTATGAAACAATAGCTGAAGTTTTGCAGCTCACACAACTTTGTGCTTGAAAGATCTTCTCCCAGTGATACTATTTGTTGTCCTGATGAATAATGTAATTGGGCTTGCAAGAAGGCACAGCTGCTGACATAAAATGAGGGCATGTTGTTGGCCTTGTGGCACTGCCCCAGACAGATGCATTATTCCACCACCGCCAACCACAATCCCTCCTCCTGCTGCCTTTCTCTGTTCCTCTGTGAATTTACCATCACCTTGGCAGAGAGGCAGTCACAAAGGCCTCCTCCACCATGAACTACCTTTATGCTGAATTCTAACAATTAGACCAACGGGGAAGTGGCTCTAAAATACTGTGTGTGTGTGTGTGTGTGTGTGTGTGTGTGTGTGTGTGTGTGTGTGTGTGTGTGGA